ACCTAAGACGCAGCCGCGGTCAACATTTAAATGAAATTATCTTCAAAAAGTAAATGTCATGGACCAATCTAACGTTTCAAATAAAGAACCGATGAGATTTTGCAAATTTTATGCGTTTTTTTAAAAAAAAAGGTATCAAGCTCTTAAAAAATCACCCGTTATATACATACCAGCATTCTCCCGTTCGTTTATACATATATGTATATACAAACATACTATGTATGCATGTATATATGTACATATACATATATACAGCCGACTCGTCAACCTTCGCTATTATTTTTTATTATGAACATAAATACACACATATCATCGGCGGCTTCACATATTTTGAGCAACTAATTTAAGCTGAAGCTACAAAATATGCTACTTGTGGTGACACCTTTTCGTTGCTCAGTAAATGCTTAAACAGGCGGCAGCGTTGATCCGGATAAGTCCGAGTGCAGTTAATTCCTAATTGATCCTGCCGTCTATTTATGCTTTAAGACAGGGTTCAGACACAGAAACTTTGTAAACCCAGCCTGACCAAGAGTTGTGGGTGCACATCTGTGCTCAGAACGTTGACATTGAAAAATCGACCCATGCCAATGATATGCTATTGTAAAACACTTTCAATCATGAAAACCGTATTTTATGAACACTTTTTGCTTATTGTCTTCAAGTTTGGTTCATGCCTAGTGTTTGAAATTGATATTAATACATACCTACATACAAACGTACATATATATAAATGTACAATATACATACCTACATATTGTATATGTATATTCGCAAATATGAAGGTACATAGCAATGAATTCGTCAAAAGCGTTTATATTTCTCATTAATTATGCCATCAACAGCTTTTGCGAACAATTTATTGTATTGATAAATGCTCTTACACGTTCCAATATTTTTTACATACTTTTCGCCACCTTTAATTTTAATATGCACAATCTATGTATTATAAAAAGTTTACGTGCGAGAAGAAAAAAGTGAATCGGGCGCGTTTTCGGTATCTAGCCAATAATGCTTGTTGCTGCAAATGCAAATATACAAAACCACTGCCCACACTTCCAATTTTCGCGTTTTGTTTACGACATGCGCATTCGCTTTGCTTGACATTTGGTATTCTTTGATCTCTTCATTCCGTTATACCGCTCTTCTTTAATTTCAAACGCCGTTTACGCTCTTGTTTTAGTGTATTTTAGCTTTCCATTCTAGTCTTGTATTTTCGTTCTCTCCGCGATTGACTATGTTGATTTTTGTTTTGTCATTTACCCATTCAATTATCACTTCGTTGTATTCAACAGCTCGTGCCTGCAAAAACTGTACTTGCGATGCCACGACCGCCTATTGTCCACAACAACGAGAGACGAAAAAAAAAACAAGAGCTTTGCGGCAATATGCCTAGATCGTTTGTTGGGGTTGTCCAAAAGCATACATGCTTGTTTTCTGTTGTATTCTATTGTTGTTGGCCTCGGTCAATTACGCACATATTAGCAAGTGGAACAGAGGAAGAAAAGCGGCGATTTGTCAAGTATACACAAGGGCCGTTTTCACCAACTCTGGTTAACACTAATCGCCAGTTAAACATCGTTGCCGACGTTACCGATACAACACAATATTATTATTAATATTACATATAATTATTATTATTTATTACTATTATTAATATTACATGTAGAATTTTACATGGTAAGTGCTATGCGTTGGGTAACGGCTTACACGCAAATCCCATTTAACAGATTCTTATGTGACAACTCTCATGCAACGCTAAGTTTGAATAACTGGGCTATTAACCGGGGATGGAGAAAACGGAAAAGGCCCTAAGGGCCGAGTGTTCAATGTCTGGTTATCACTACTTGCCGGTTAAACATCACTATCGACGATTTCGACATCATGCATATAACATGGGGTACGTTCAGAAATGCATCAAGCCAAAGCATCAGTCCCTTTTACTTCTAAACTAGAAGGCCACAATCGCCTGGTGTAAACGGTCCTTCAACTAATCTCTTTCAATGAAGTTGGTAGGCTGCCTACTTTCGTTTAAATTTGATTCAACTAATCGTCTGTGAAAGTAGAATCATGTAAATTCCCTATAAGTGTTGTATTGACGTAGGTTGTAGTATTTAAAGGCTAAATAAATGTTTAGAGGACTTGAAACCACAACCAAATATTTTTTAACTGTGTGGAATTTCACAATACGGCTTCTTAGCTTGCGAATCCCTTTAATAGTGTTTTACCCGTTTAAAGTTTATGACATACAACAATGCGACAGTATACAACACCTTGTCAACTTCCTAAATAATTGTGACTAGAAATCTCAAAGAGGAAAATTGGAGCCGCCTATGCTATGGATTTTCTTATGCTGTGAAAAAAAGGGAAGAAGATACGTCCTTATGTACATACATATGTAAGTAAGATACATGTTTTTACATTTACATTTATTAATTTCAGCTAGTTATTTTCAAAAAAAACTTACCCGAATATAGAAATGCATATATGTATGTATGTAATTACTTTTTTCGGAACTAAAGTTCGCCTTTTGGAGTCATATTTTTCTTTTATCGTACGTGTAGATTTTCATTTAATTCACTGCACTTTTTAACAATGGGAAACTGTTCCAATTCTTAAAATTGAAAATTGGGATGCATAAATCCCTCGAATAATTGATTCTGAAACCGACCACAACCACTTCTTCTGGAATTCACTGCGAAATGAATTTCAAAACGGTTTTGTACAATTTACTTTTTCTTTCTGGTTGATTTTCATCGCTCCATTACTTTATTCCCTCATTTGGTTGGATTCTCTTTTTTTTACGAACCTTTGCAATTCTCTATTTATTAATGTACATATGTACATAATTTTCTATGACTTTGTTTTATAGGCGTTTTCGCGTCTTCTGACGTTACGTTTTGGACCCTATTTCGTTTCGGTAGTCTAGGTCAGTGATGGAAAAGCAGGCACAATAGTGCCATTTTTGGCATTTTCATTCTCAGAGCACTTTGCCAAAGAACGTAGATAACAAGAATGGACAACTCGTTATAATTGTAACGAAAGTGCGAAACAGGAGCGTGCCTTCTCTTTTGCACTAGTGCGTTTTTGATTGGATGAAAGGGGAAGGCACGCCCCTGTTGCACACTTTCGTTACAATTATAACGAGTTGTCCCTTCTTGTTATCTGCGTTCTTTGACCCAAGTTTACGTGATCTACAAGTTACAAGCGTTTTCAGCATTTAACAGTTCATTATCATTTACGGTGTAATATTAATTATTATACACTGAACTATGAACTATGAACTATCTGTACTAGTATCTATAATAATAGACAATAATTTGCAATGTTTTTACACTTTTGCAATTAGTTTCGGGCACTATTACACATTCATGACTTGCGCCACTCTGCCATAGTACGGGTGTTGCCCCTTTCATACCACAGTAATTTTGTTACAACTCTGAATCAACAAAATGCATGCTCCTTCTCATTTTCAACCCTGATCAGATTTTACCCGAGGAGTACTCAAAAAGGTTTATTACTGTATATACTGTGCATTCAACTTTGATGAAATAAAACGAAACGGAAGCAACATTAAATCATAACAAAAAAAAATAAAAGAAAAACGATATTTTTTTTCTAAATACAAGTCCACGGTGAGAAATTAAATATATTCCAAACTGGTAGAAATGTCCGTGCGACCGAAGTTTGCTGGTACTGGCCTAGAGGAAGTCAATATTCCAGGGCAAGCATATCTCCGAGAAGCGCTTACATCATGCACCGATCCTCTAAAGGCGATTGAAAGCTTTCAGGTTTGTGTTTGCTACATATGTATTTGACACAAAATACTATCTCGAAAATAATGTTATTTGATTTGTAGCTGGAAAATGGTGTGCTTTTACCGTCTTTGCGGCCGATGTTGCCACTTTGGATTTGCATGGTGTGCGGCGTCTGGATTTTCACACTTCGCTCATGGAGGTAAGCAAAACAGAATTTGGTTTCTTTTAGTGATTAGTGATATTTATAAATTCATAGGAGTTGCGGGAAAAGCTGATTGCACATATTAATGAGTTGGGGCAAAAGGATCCGCGTGAGCGTGACAAAAAATTGAAGGAATTGTTGGTAAAGAGTTTTCCCGTTGTCAGGGTTAAAGCGCTTCGACCAGTAGTAATGGCGATTTTACGAAATACCCAACATATTGATGACAAATATTTGCGAATTTTAGTACGCGATCGAGAACTCTATTCGGATACAGACACGGAAGTAAAAAGACAGATTTGGCGCGACAATCAATCTCTATTCGGTGACGAAGTTTCGCCACTTTTATCACAGTACATTCGTGAGAAAGAACATGTCCTATTCGATCATACAAATTTAAACAATCTTTTCTTTCACCCATCGCCAAAGGTGCGGCGACAGGGTGAAGTAGTGCAAAAGTTGGCGAATATGATAGGGCAGAGTGTGAAACTATACGACATGGTATTGCAATTTTTACGCACCTTGTTCTTACGAACCCGCAATGTTCATTATTGTACTCTTCGTGCCGAGTTGTTGATGGCACTTCACGATTTGGAGGTTCAGGAAATAATTTCCGTGGATCCATGTCATAAATTTACTTGGTGCTTGGATGCTTGCATTCGCGAGAAGAATGTTGACATAAAAAGATCTCGCGAACTGCAAGGTTTTTTAGACAACATAAAACGTGGACAAGAGCAGGTTTTGGGCGATTTATCGATGACGTTATGCGACCCATATGCTATCAATTTTTTAGCCACGTCAGCAATTAAAATTTTACAACATTTAATTAATAACGAAGGACTGCCTCGCGATAATACCATTCTCATCTTATTGCTGCGTATGCTCGCCTTGGGATTGAGTGCGTGGGTAATGATTGATTCCCAAGATTTTAAGGAACCAAAACTTGACTGCCAGGTTGTTACAAAGTTTTTACCTGCGCTAATGTCACTTATGGTGGATGATCAATGTCGTAGTTTGCATTCGAAATTACCTCCAGACGAGCGTGAATCTGCACTTTGCACGATTGAGCACTCGGGGCCGCACCAGATGCCGTTGAGGCGTATATTCAGGAGAGTTCTGTAGCCAGCATATTGGCGATGTATTACACTTTGCACTACGGCACGCCTGAAAGATCGTGTTGGCGTACTGCGCGTTTTAGCAATATTGTCTGCTTGCAAGGATGACCGTGCCTACGAAGATCCATTCCTACATTCACTGTAAGTAAAATAGACATATAATTAATATCAATCATGAATGTTTGCATTAATTATTTATCAAAATATAGTTCATCCCATAATATAAACCAATATAAATCAAAGTTGCACACACAATATGAATTTCCCGAAAAATTCAAAAAATTATCATCAAAATTAAGATTTGTATCAGAATTTCTAGAAAATTTTCGAGTATGCAGTTTTGAAGCCCAAAATGCAAGTTTTGGGTCGCTAATAATTACCGTTGATTTTTTAAGAACTTTTATGTGAAGGTCTTTTTTTTCATATAACGCTTGATCAAAACTTATTTAATTTATTTGGTTGATATTATAGAATGAACTATATTTTCGAATACCGTCGTTTAAAGTAAAAAACCGCGTATCAACAAAATTAAAACCGCGACGAATGGATAGAAAGGATTGAACCAAGAGCATTGAGTGAGCAAATCCAATTTTTGGCAGCAAATGTCAGTTACGCGGCTTTCGCGGAGTGACGATATGCGTGTTTTGCACTTTAAACGACGATATTCACCCTCATTGCGAGAGTCGTGTCGAATGAAGTCGTTTTTCGAGAGCTCGAATCGTTCGTATTCATTCATGTAAAAGTTTCACGACTAGTTAACGAAAAACTGCAGACACTGCATACGTTTTCGACGACTTTTGTCGTTTACTTATTTCACCACCGACAGTAGACAATGTCAGATGTTGTCGAGCATCGTTACTATTAGCTATGCACATTAATTTAACGCACATATATCGCCTTTAGTTATATAGGCTCAGTTGTTTTTGCAGTATTAAGAAAATATTTTGCATTTTTTAGTTGGAAACTTCTTTAAAGTTTTTTTTTTTTAATTCAAGCCTACAATTAATTAAATGCCGCAGTAGTTATTTCTTAATTCCATTAGGTTTTTAGTTGATAAGTTGTACAAAGTAGGATTTTCAAGAAAAGGAGATAGTGCTTATTTATATTACGGTAACGAACGATATGTGTCTGGATATACATATACTATATATCCATCTCAAATCAAATTAATGCATTGAATTTTTAGATCGCATTGCTTATCCCAATGGCGGAAGAATTTTCCACTGAAGATTTTTGTACTACGCTCTTCGATGAATTCCTCTTCGCTGGACTGACACGCGATAATGTTACGAGGCATATGTTAAAGCTGTTGTGGTATGTGCACAATAAATTGCCTACCGGTAGATTGGCTACACTCATGAAGGCTATTCAACCCACAACTGGCCATAACGAAACGGTCCACAAACTGTATGAAACACTCCAGGAACGGATCGGCGCGACTATGCACGAAGGTCCAATACCTGAACAACAAGAAATAGATTTTGACTCACCGCTGAAAAGCGTACCCACTCCTGGTCCTGCGTATATGCAGTGAGGTGATGAAGCGAAATTAAGACAAAAACATACATAATTTTTTCTTTGTATTTTTCTTTATAAATTATAAAATTTTTATATTATGAATGTATGTACATGCAATAAAAAAAAAGACTTGTACGCTTGCCAAATTGGTGGAAAAACGTTTTCAACTCGATCTAGCACTACATTCAAAAATACACCAATTAACTTGTTAAATCGGGAAAATCAGCTCGCAAACATGTTAAATAAAATGCAGTAAGTTAACTTGTTAAGCCAATTAACATGCTTGAAAACAGTTCAGCGCAGTGTTGTATACGGAAGATTCCGATAAAGATTTAATGAACACGGTTGCTTTGAATTGAACATGAATTACTTCGAAATGTACCAAAGTAAATTCGGATATTTTCTGCGTTTTCTCTATACTGAGATTAATAGCTATAGATAATACAAAGTACGATATGTGTAGCCATGGTTACTAGACCAGCATCTATGTAGACACTAGTCCCCATACATAATGGCGCTAGGACTCATAAATTGTATAGCCATTCGTGACTGAAGGCAAGGAGATACAATGGGAAATAACTAATTAAATTATCCAGCACAACTTGCAGAAGAGTAATGAACGGCTAAGCACCCGCTACAACAACAGCAACAAGGGAGTAATGAAAAATTTTCTCTCAATACAAAAATTAAAAAGGTAAGCCAACGCTTAATTTTAAAACTTGAAAGTTTAAGATGCTGCTGATCACAGTTTTTTACATGCAATTGCGTAACAACTAAGAATCAAAATGTAAAGCTATGTATATATTTCAAAGTAAAAGAAGCTATACATTTCAATCAGATCAGCTGTTTTTCTTGTAGAACATTTTTACCAGTAAGAATAAACAACTTTGGAAGTGTTCGCTTATATGAACGCCAAATCTGATACTTTTTGATAATTATCAGGTTTTTATTGTGGTTTTTGGAGATTCCTCTGCCAAATATAATTCTGGGTCGTTCCGGTTACGTAGGCCCGACTGTCGTGGGAACGAATTTACAGGTTGTCGAACAGGCTACTTGTAGCAGCATAAACAATGCCCAAATGGGGAATAACTCTGTGGTGGCAGTCCTTAGGCAAATACACGTTCCACTATGTGTTTCTCCATGATTTGTTAAAGATTTCTAATACAACTCTGTGCTGAACTTGTTTTTAAATTTTTCAACAATAATTGCATGGTATTTAACCTGTTTACAGGCCGACTTTGGTCGTTTATCGCACTATAACGGTTGGCAGTCGTGTTTGTTTCTTTTTTCGTCNAAATACACGTTCCACTATGTGTTTCTCCATGATTTGTTAAAGATTTCTAATACAACTCTGTGCTGAACTTGTTTTTAAATTTTTCAACAATAATTGCATGGTATTTAACCTGTTTACAGGCCGACTTTGGTCGTTTAACTGGTTTAGGCCCATTTAACGTTTAATCGCACTATAACGGTTGGCAGTCGTTTGTTTCTTTTTTCGTTAACAATTCGAAAATATACAATGCCTACATTACATCCCTTGATTTCGACAAATTTGCCTCGGTTTCCATATTCGTATTTGGAGGAGTCGTCATAACGACATCTGTGACAACACTTGAACCCGGTCTCATACAAAACTCGAACAGCTCGTGATATTCCATGTACAACCGCTGCCATTTTACATGCGGTTTAAGTGTATTCAGCACGTTCTCTAATAATTGATGCTTGGGCACTGCCTTTTGTTTTTAAGGATAAATATACATTCATATGTATGTACACATTAGAATTGATATTGTTTTGAAAATTACAAATTACCAGTATTTTGTGATCGAGCCCGCNTACAACCGCTGCCATTTTACATGCGGTTTAAGTGTATTCAGCACGTTCTCCAATAATTGATGCTTGGGCACTGCCTTTTGTTTTTAAGGATAAATATACATTCATATATATGTACACATTAGAATTGATATTGTTTTGAAAATTACAAATTACCAGTATTTTGTGATCGAGCCCGCCATTACGTGATGAAGAGCCCAGCAAATCATCCAGTAATATCCTTAAACGCTGTTCAGTCCCGCTAAGCGCCAGCTGATACGCGTACATGTTGTACCAGAAAATCAATTCTTCGGGGNCATTTTACATGCGGTTTAAGTGTATTCAGCACGTTCTCCAATAATTGATGCTTGGGCACTGCCTTTTGTTTTTAAGGATAAATATACATTCATATATATGTACACATTAGAATTGATATTGTTTTGAAAATTACAAATTACCAGTATTTTGTGATCGAGCCCGCCATTACGTGATGAAGAGCCCAGCAAATCATCCAGTAATATCCTTAAACGTTGTTCAGTCCCGCTAAGCGCCAGCTGATACGCGTACATGTTGTACCAGAAAATCAACTCTTCGGGTGAATTAATGGCTTCTGCTATCATAAGTTGATTTTCTATAAAATTCAGTTTGGCACTGGACTGCCAGTCCTGCATATTCCTATAACGAACAAACAACTTTAATAAATGGGAGGTATTAGCTGATCTGCTAAATACACAGAAAAAGAGAGCATTTCATTTATTCAGCAGATAAGAAATTCATATGACTTACATATCTACTGAAGTGTTCATGGCAGCAAAAGTATTGGTTGCAGCTTGTGTGGAAATCAATGGATATGAAAAATAGTTTTTCTCAAAATCTTTAGGAATCGTGGTTTGGAGACCATGACGTACTAGAGGATCCTTATTATTGAGTACAAGCCATGATTGCAGTTGCGGCGAATATGAATAAGCACTACCATTGGCATATAAAATCATAGGTATGCCGTCTTCTGTGATATTAAATTGTACAACCGTGCCTAGCTTTCCGCCAATATCATTACAAGTCGTTGATAAAAATATACGCCGCTCCTCAATGTGCCAGATGCGTAAAGTGCCGCAATCTGTAACCACACCAACCAAGCGACCACTGGGACACTTAAATAAGAAAACGAAAAATGTATATTACAAGAATCAACTTAGATATGTATTAATGAGACAATGCTTCTGTTGAACCAAGACCCCAAAAATTCCAGGGGATCTTAAGGAAGTAAGTCGTATCATCGCAAGCGACTAGAAAATTGACTGTCAAAAACTCTTCGAGAATTGTTTATGCTGTTACAACAACTACAAAGATAAAATGCTGTCTACAGTGTCCTGTGTCCTTTGACGATTCCTAATTGAGATTGATGAGGAATGGCTCAGGCCATAATGAAGTTGTGGCTGTCCTAGCTAGTTCGTACACTCACCTCATTTCCCTCTTCACCTCTATGTGCTACTCTGAGAAACAATCATATACTCTCTTCTCAAATACTATTGTCCGATAAGACGACTTTTAACACTAAATGTACAAGCCGTCTGGGTTTGTCAGGATAAGGTTAAGATTAAAGTCTATTGAATTAAATATAAATCCCCTTGAATATTTTTAGGCGCATACCAGTGTTGACAAAATGTTAATCTGATTAACGATTAAAAATAAACCATTAAAATGTTAATCACGATTAACGATTAAAATTAATTAATCGTAATCAACTGTACGATTAATGATTACATTTTTGAATTGTTAATTGTCGGTTGTGATTACGATTAATTAATTTTAATCGTTGATCCAATTAGAAAAGAAAATCTTATTATGTTCCAGTTGGTCCGAATTTGAAACCAAACACCAGTTATAGTAGTTATTTTGTGTTTCACGTGAGGTTTTGGCTGGGTTGGTGTTGAACTCCATCTTAGAACACTATCCTTTCGTTAGGTGCAGTCCATTTTGAAAGAACTGCTCTCGAACTTCCCTCTAGTTATGACTATGTCATTAGCATAGCATATAGTCTTAGTGGCTTGGATGTAGCGGTTCTCGCTTCTCCATTAACTTTTTCATACGACTTATCGACGTGAGGGATTTTGTTAGTGAGTATTCTCTACTTTCAACCTCTGAAACCTATGATGGAGTCATTATGGGCTGTTGCCTTGTATGTTGCCAACAACGTTTCTTTATCTTTGCCCCCAAGTGCTGCCGGCCAGCGACTTGAGGACATTGTTGCGGCTCTGTACTTTGTTGACAATTGCGGTTGTATGCGCCGAAAGGAGAGCAGACTGTCGAAGGTAACTCCGAGGATTTTTGGGTTATTCACCGGCGGTATTGTTAGGCCATCGACATGAAGACCCAATTGCAGTCTGACCTCCTTTGTGCAGGTGGTGAATAGGGTTGCCGAGGATTTCGCAGGGGATAAGGCAAGGCTCCTAGCAGTGAAGAAGCGAGAATGTTCGGCGAGATAACCGTTTACTTTGGAGCACAAGTCATCAATTCCATTCCCAGACGCTATGATCGAACAATCGTCAGCATAGGAGACAATAGTAATACCCTCTGGTGGTTGAGGAAGCTTTGAAATGTAATAATTAAACAGTAGTGGGGACACCCTGTGGTACCCTCTGTTTAATTTTACGTGGCTTACTAGTTTTGTCTCCGAAATAACCGAGTGACCACTGGACCGATACCGGGTAAAAAGTCTTTAGCCAGCCATCAATCCGACAGAGGCGGCCTAATCTCTATGGGTTTTACTTCTAGTTTTTGGATGGAGAAATAGGGACTTTAAAGGCAAGAATCCAACTACAACCGAACCTACAAAGATGCATATTTATGATGCCCCTGCGAAACGTTGCATTTGACGATTTCATGAAATTTACTTACGAAAGTGCATTGAACCGCAGCTGAACTTATACTTATAACGGGCATTTTGGCTCTGCCTGTATGCATATCCATCAAACGCAATGTACCATCCATACTGCACAGCATCACGTGCTTATGGCAAAAATTCAAATTAACAATTGGCGAACCTTAAAAAAGACAAACAAGATAAGAGTTTTCCGAATTTCTTAAAACTGCATCCAATACAAACCAACTAAAATTTCCCAAAGTTTTTCTATCTGAGCCGGCCTTTGTATATTGTAGCCGGTCACTTTTGCCAAAAACCCACTACCAGTACCTAAATACCCATTGTGAACATGAACTCTATGGTCTAGGGCAGTTTTTTGGAATTCACATTTTGTGTTGCTATTAATAACCAATTTTGGACCAGTAGTAGAAGCTTGGTATGGCTTCACAGCTGTGGGTAAATGATCAGTTGCCAAGGTGGTTGCTCCGCTGAAGGGGGCGCTGGCAGATGACTTTGAAGTGACAATGAGCGGGAATGTCTTCACAGAACTATTTTCCGCTTTTTGCGGCTGTAATTTTGCAGCAGATGATGTAGTTTTTATAAGTCGGGCATCCAAGCATCTAGAAAGTGCGTTACATAGGCGAATGAGATGATTAATTCAAAATTGTTAATTCTTACATTTCTTGGGCCTCAGTTATCGTCGGTTTGGCAAATGTGCTCGTTCCTGGCGGATTCACTTCTGCAGATATGCTTGCTGTCGTTATTGCTGTTGATGTATTGGAATTCCATGCTGTTACAGCTGTAGAATTCGATACAAGGTGCGACGTGTTCGGAGACTCACTTCAATTTATATGATTTATTCAAATTTCAATTATTATTAACAAAGAAATTTAGTGCGCTCTTACCTCACATCTTGATTAAGTGCTACAAAAACTGGAGTAATGCGTCGTTTTCCGTCAGCAGTTCTAGTTTCTGTTTGTTTCCTAACTGCATTAGTATTGCTTGGCCGCACTTCGCTTCCTGTTGAACACAAATTTGTAGAAGGCAATTCGGAATGTCCGTTCGATATGGCAACCAACGCGGTTGGCTGAGTAACGTTGTAGTTTTGTTTACTAATATTTGCTGTTGGCAAGGTGGGAGGCATAGGCTTCTCTTGTGTCTCGCCCAGAAGTTCGGGATTTTCAATCAGTATGTCAGCTCCACCACTAGAGCCGTTTTCAAGGGTTACACTTTTTCCGTATGTTTTTTGAAACAACGAGTTCTAAAAATATATGAGTTATAAAGATTTGAACAACTTTGATTTTCTGCAAACCTTTTCTTCATCTGAAACAGGAGTTCCAAGTTCGCTTTCAGAAAATTGCAAGCAAGCCACTGTTCCATCGCCACTACATGCCATCAAAATACATTTTGCTGGTCCCCAAGAAAGATCCAATATGCTATCACTGAATAGATCGTGTATAACGACTAATGGTCGATTTAATGCAGTCATCCAAACTGATAACGATCGATCTCTCGAGCCCATCGCCATACAACAATACTGAAGTTTTCTATCTGCGTTAGATGCCTGCCTTGTCAAGACTGTGTCGTGGAACCGAACGCATGTTACAGCTTTTCTATGACCTACAAAGTCTTTGTCACATTTCCATCCCTCTCGTTCTATAATGCGTGCAGTAGGGCCTCCGCCGTTCATAGCATGTGCTGACACTAGGTACAATCCATCCGGGGACCAAGATAACCGAAGTATATGAGTGGTGCCGCCGCAACCTTTAAAGGGCTCAGTAATAGTGCTGCTACAACTCCAATCACTGGTCTTCCACATTTTAACACTTCGGTCATCACTTTGAGATGCCAAAAACTTCCCCAGGGGATCCCACGCTACTCCTTTAACCAACCCAGTGTGGCCCCTCAAAGTTGTAACCATATTGGGAAAAGATTGTACATCCCAGATGATGATGGTATTATCAATACTACAACTGGCTAACCATCGTTCATTAGGAGACCAAGCCAGGTCAAGCACATCCCCTGAGTGCCCACGTAGAGTAGCCGTACATTTCCATGATTCGGCATTTTTTTGAAGACCTCCCGTACCGAAAACTCCACTTGGTCCCTAAATTTTTTCATTTTTAATTGGGGACGAAAAATAATCATTATTTTATAAATTTGAACTAAACAAATCAACAAGTCGTAAAGCAGTTTTAATTTTCCTACTGCAAGTTACAATTTTTTTTTTTTCGAGTTCAATAAAGATTAACGATAATCTGCATTATCCTGAGTTTCGCCCGAAAAAAAAATCACCCGAAAATTTTTATTCCGGCCATAGTAAATACATGACTTTCATTTTACCCGAACCGGTTTACTTTTCCCCTTTTGGTCTCCATGATTTACTATGGGCGGATTTAAAATTTTCGGGTGAGCGAAAAAAATAAAAATCATAAAATAATCATTAACTGTAGGTAAATTTTTAAGTTTTGAAATATCACAGCTAAACGACCAAACACGTAAGCTTAATTTTGGCCCCTAGATTACGATGCCGTTTTCAGAAAATCCGTACCATGTCAAAATTTTGAGATATTTAGGAGGGAAGTTTTAGAGCTCTTACGGTGAAATGTTCGGCGCTTATAACACTGTGTTCAGGGTTTGAACTGTTTTTCTAAGCAAAAGTTTTGATATCAGATCTTACTTAATCAAGACCTTCTTAGTTCAATGGCGTCCCTCGTTTACCGAAGGAAGCTCAGGATAAGGCTGAATGATTATTCAAAAACCTCAAAACCTATACCACAGTACATTTAAGGTACCTAAAATTTTGTACCTACTGCATACGATATAAATCAAAAATTTAATTATGAACTTTTAATTATGGACTTTTACTTAGTTACGGCGTTTTGTATTACAGCGGCGATGTGAGATAGGACCTTTTTAAATTAAGGTAACGATATGTAAGCTTTCAATATTATTGTACCTTTGACATTCTCCAAATCATAACCAATTTATCATCCGACCCCGAAGCTAGCATTTGACCATTAGGTGACCAACGAACGCAATTTACACATGCCAAATGATTGTCCAATTGGCATAGCATCTTTGGTACGTTTTCATCCTGTTCTACTTTTTCCGATAGTACTGGTAATAAATTCCATATCACGACACGCCCGGAATCCAAGCCCTGACCGCCAGTGGCAAATTTAAGACATTCCTGGTGCACATCCACGGAGAATATTGGCTTATCTTTAGCAGTGATAAAAAAAAAAAATATTTATATAATTTTTTCATTCAGATTTATTCTCAAACGACCAGCAGTACAAAAGATCATACCGTCATGATGCACCCAGCTAGGTTTCAAAAGTTTCATTAAACCAGATAGGTTTTTCTTGGGAGCAAAACTTTTTTATTTTTTGGTAATTTGAAAAGTTTTACTTAATGTAAGAGCACGTATTTTTTTGATAAATTTTCGTCTTGTTTGTGTCTTGTCTTTTATTGCAAATTTCGATTACCTTTGCACTTGCATTCTGTTTCTTTTTGCGTTTTGCGCCTTTTTCATTATTGTCGGTTTTCTTTTATACTTTCAAGCGTTCTTTTTGTTTACTTTTTCTTTTTCATCACTTTTCTTGCGAACAGTGTGACCAGAATGCCCATGCTATTTTACCATGATCCAACTACACAAGATCTGACAACATGAAGCAAAAGAAAAAAGTAATTTTCTGGCTGACGTAGCGGTTTGATCACAACGTAAGCGGTTTGAAAATAAAAAGTTTTGACTTTTGTTAAATTTCTCTCAAGAGGCTTGTAACCAGTGTTGCCATTGAGAATTTTCAGAAAGTCGCAGAAACGAGGTCATTGACGAAAAAAGGGTCAACGTATAATTTTTGCTTTTCTTTACTTCTTATTTGGCGCTTTATTGACGCCAAGTGAAGCCAAGTCCTTCTCCACCTTCTTCCTTCGCAGTGGGGGCCTCCCTCTTCCTCTGCTACCACCAGCGGGTTCCGAATTGAATTCTTTCAGAGCTGGAGCGTCGGTGTCGATTCGAACGACATGACCAAGCCAGCGGGGTCGCTGTTTTTTAATTCGCTGCCCTTATGTCCATGTCGTTGTAAAGCTCATACAGCTCATCGTTCCATCGTCTGCGGTACTCGCCGTCGCCAACGCGTAAAAGCCCGTAAATCTTCCGCAAAATCTTTCTCTCGAACACTCATGCTTCTGCGCCATATACCAGCATGGGCATGATGAGTGACTTATAGAGCGTGGTTTTCGTCTTACTGGAGGTAAAAATTTTCAACAGCATGGTTCTGTTAACATTTCTAAAAAATCTTTGAAGAGGGGTAAGAGTCGCTCACAATTTTGGAAAAGAGTCCAAAAATCAAAATTTTCAAAAAGTCGGGTCAAAGGGTATTGGCGCTTAAAAAGCGTCAAATTGCCCCTTTAGTCGCACAACGGATTTTTACGAATATCGGCGTTATTATTTAACTTTTAGCAAAAGCTGGTACATCAAAAGATAGAGATTCAGATTATAGAATACAAACTAATTTAAAATGCATAATATGCCTTTTTTCAAGCTCACATGCAAAGCATTCGCATGTGAACTACAAGTTTTGACAGATGTGTGAGAACGTCACATAAGAATATAAATGGAATTATTTGCCTTTGCGAACGTTCACGTTCCCGCTCGCATTGAACTGTATAGCAAGCTTATCAGAACACAAACGGCTTGAAACAAAGGGTTTTTTCCGCTTGGTTTGTAAAGCCCTTTGTGTAGTGTATTTCGCCCTTAAAAAAAACCTCCAACCATCTTGTGTTGTCAAAATGCACTGCTTTAGCTACTGCACTGCTTTATTACCGTCAATACCATACGCGCATTTGACAAATAAGTGGAAAATGCTCCAGGAATCTTGGCCATTGCTGAAAATTTTTTATTTGGGATAAAAGTTGGTTCTATTTTTAGCTAAATATAGCAAGTAAAGGTAAATTGTTAAGGGCGATTGTTATTTTACTGTTGTTTGAATGAAAACGAACGGAAGTTGTGTGGTAACCAACTCGCAACAAAGTCAGCGAGTACCGAGTGGCTACATTGCACTGGCGAGGAGAATTTAAAACCGAGAAACGAAACTATTTAAACAAAAACCGGATCCACTCTTTTGCAAAATGCAAACCATGAGTAAGTCCAATATATCCACCCAAGACTAAGCTTCCGTTATATCTGCTATCAATAATTTTAACTGTGTAGAGCGCGAGCGTAAACGCTATCAAAAGGATACCGCACCAGCAGATGATATAATAACTTTAATACACTTGGTCCGCCAAAATCCCGCACTATACAACTACAAGTTACAACCAAATCAAAGACGGCGGATTGATGTATTAAACGGTTGGGCAGACATTGCGGCACAGATCGGAAGTAAGTGGTAGTTAACAGTAATCCAACCATTGTTAAAGTTGTCAATCGTTCCACAGAATGCTATATAAATTTTATTTTTTAGACAAATATACCNATCAATAATTTTAACTGTGTAGAGCGCGAGCGTAAACGCTATCAAAAGGATACCGCACCAGCAGATGATATAATAACTTTAATACACTTGGTCCGCCAAAATCCCGCACTATACAACTACAAGTTACAACCAAATCAAAGACGGCGGATTGATGTATTAAACGGTTGGGCAGACATTGCGGCACAGATCGGAAGTAAGTGGTAGTTAACAGTAATCCAACCATTGTAAAAGTTGTCAATCGTTCCACAGAATGCTATATAAATTTTATTTTTTAGACAAATATACGGTAGAGGAATGCCGGCGCAAGTGGAAAAACTTAAGAGATACCTACCACCAATACCGGCTGCGCAAGCCCAAACTTGGCGACGGATTATCCAAATGGCGGTATGCGAAAGAATTAGAATTCCTTTCCACCGTATATCAGCCAAAATTAAAATCCCAACGTCACCAAAATTACATGATGGATACACAGCGCTCCGATTTGCACGATCTTGGAGGTGGTGTCTCAACACGCTTAAAGGAAGATCACATCGAGGGCAGCATTGTGCATCATTCGAATTCGGGCATTACTTTGGTGAACGATGATGAGACATTTATACTCACCACATATGAGGAGAGCGTTGCTGATGATGTTACCACTATCGACCATGGCGGACACGAAGATCCAAGCATATCTTCTCATATGGAATTGACGCATGATGATGATGATGATGTCGAAGATGTGCAGGAAATTGTTAAGAACGAACATGGCTCTTCACTAGATGACGCAAATGGTACTGAGGTCCACTATGAAGAAGTGTGCATGTATGAAGAGGCTGGTAACGGGCCCAGTGTCGATTGTGAAACTATAATTGGGGCAGGCGGAGTAGTGCGCAGCTCTTCGACAGATTCGAAAAATTTTACGTACGGAAATTATTTCGTATTTTGTTGAATTTAATGTAAAAAAAGTATCTCTTTTTTAACAGTTCTCATCATCACCATCACACTCATTCAACAGCCGATTCGTTCACCTACTCAATGAATGACTTTTGCATCGAGTCTATTCCGCACTTACCAAGTACAAGTGGTGGAGGAGGTGAAAGCGGCGGCGGTAGCAGTAATAGTAGTGTAATTGGTGGAACCAAGTTGAAAAATTTGGCAACATCGACAATTGTTACAACCCCTGTGGTTGTGAGCAGTAGCTCTACCAATCCGAATATTGCACAGCAGCAAACAGCAACTTCATCCATATTGCAATTGCAGTCACCTACTTCTATGACCTATAATGGACAGTCGCGGGAAGAGTTGGACTTGTTTTTTGCATTCCTAAAGCAAAAAATGCAACGTTTTTCAAAGGAAGAAATAACGCTAATGCAGGTGGAGTTTCTTAATTGTGTTCAAAAGCATGAAGCTGAACGCAAATACAACGGAGGTGGGGGAGGAGATTCATCAATACTACATCAGTAAGCGAAAATTTAATAAATTTAATGTTTAACAATTTGAAATTTTTATTGAAAATCGAAACATGTACTGTGTAGTTAAGAATTGTATGTAAATGTTGTGTGTATCTAATGCGCATCATAATGCTTCTGAATACTATTAAAATCAAATAATGAGCTCTTTATCAATTATTATTAATACATGTGGTATGTATGTTGTAAAATATAATGAAATATGAATTCTACTGCTTTAATAGTGCAAATAATACATACAACAAAATAGTGCTGGAAAGAAAGGTTTTTTGAGGCATTAATTATATATATACCGTACATATGCCATTTTTAACTGATATAATTTTGTTATTTAACCCGAAACCGCGATAAATCAGTTATTTTGTTAAAACGGTTGTATGGTGATGATAGCGTTTAAACGATGCCGTATCTATAGGTCACATTTTTAAAGTCCATTATAATTATCAATTTTCAAGGCATCTAATTCTCCATTATTTGTAAGATAATTTAGATTTTTTTTAATATTTCATTTCATTTTGATTACTTAGGATTACGATTACTGTAATTGTAATCCCGAAAATTTTCAGCATTACGATTACTTTATTTGTAATTGTAACATGCTTGAGTGCGAATACTTTAATTGTAATCCTTAAAATTTAACGATTACGACTACAGTAGTCGGAATCGTACTTTTTTTGATTACGATTATAGTAATCGTAATCCTAAAAATTTTAAGATTACAATTACCGTAATTGTTATCTTGAAAATTAGGATTACGATTACAGTGGTCGTAATCGTTAAATTTTTAGGATTACAATTAAGTTATAGCAACCATGCAATTCATGATTACGATTACAGTAATCGAGAAATTAGTTATGCTTAGAGCAAATATTGGTTTTAAGTTATGAACTCGCACATTTGTTTGAAATTGTAATTTTCTGCACAGACTCGTGGTCCCAGTATTTCCAATAAAGTTTGATTTTGATTAACGGTCCACCTTGATGTTGTCACCCAAAGGGCAGGGACCTACAGTTTTACGCCGACCCGAAAGGTGATTGCATTTTTAAGACAAGCTGTTTTTCATGACAGAAATACACTCGGAGGTTTGCCATTGCCTGCCAAGAGGCGACCGCTTTTAGAAAAAAACGTTTTAGGTTCTTTATTTTTTAATGCTGGGTTGAACCGGGCTTGAATAGAGGCCCTGCGGAATGGTAGTAATCAATCAATTCTTCATACTTTCGGGGAAAGTTACGCTCATTTATTTAACTACTAAACTTCTACAGAATAGCAGGAAATCGCAATCAACGTTTTCTTGATTACGATTACATTAATTGTAGTCATAATATTTTTAGGATTGCAATTAAAGTATTCATAATCGTAATTCTCATGATTACAATTACTGTAATTGTAATCTTAAAATTTTTGGTATTACAATTACGGTATTCCTAATCATGTTTTTCATGATTACGATTACAGTAATCATACAAACTTATAAATTTCGCGTCAAGAGTATTATCCAAAAGCGTATAATTGATAATAGTGAAAGTAAGAATTGATTCCGTTTCTAAGTTCCAATTTTGTACACAAAAAATAAATATTGTTCCAAGCGATAAGA